TACACGAATTTTCTGCACAAATCCTGCTAAGAGATTATTGGCTACCTTTAATGTAACACACGCGCCCGCAAACAATTCTGGATTGCTATTACTATAATAATAATTTAAAACGGATAAGTATCCGGATATCCGTTTTAATATCCGGATCCAAGCTCTAATGAAAAGTATCATTGTGAATTGATCAACATATGGGAGTAAAGAAAATCCCAGAATAATTCAAATCGGGAATAATTGACTGTAGTATGGATAAATCCCTATATTACATCACTATCAATGATGAAATATAAGACAACTAATGATTGTTTTGAAAGAATTTAAAATATAATCCTGCTTGTTTGGATTAGTAAAGGAAGAAATGATTTTTGACTGAGACTGCAAATTTTTTATGGAAACATTTGATCAATTATTGATAAAAAAGTGAATGGAATAATGTGCAAGTCATTATTTTTGCTACAAGAAACAGTAATGATATTGAAATGTGCAATAATTTTATATTATATAGTATTCTGATCCTATGCAAAATTGAGAGAATTGAAAAGTACTTTGGCTTGTAAAGGAGAAAAAAAAAGAGATTACATTTACTGTTTTTATGAATGAAATCATTAAAATGTCTTTTAACAATTGGAGAAGCTATACTCAAAAACCACCAGATATCCATCCCCCCAATGAGATTATCAAAAATTTATTCATTATATTTTAATTGTGTAAATTAATAAATTAAATGTATTATAATAAATCATAATCATCCAGCTGTTATAGTAGATGAAAAAATAAATTTGTATGAATTATCAGATCAAATGATAAATCAATTTAAATATATTAATCATACCTTGTCATTATATTTCATGATCTTGCGTTTAATCTTGGAAGTATCTACCCAAGTAATAAAATCTTCAAGATTTCTGATTTAAATAATTAAAAAATGATAGTAATGTAAACTTCCAATAATTTTAAAAAATGTACACATGTTTGTTTACCTTGTGACTAAGTATGCAGGGTCAGTGACAGTTTCAGGACCAACACGAATATGACCTTGTTCTACAAAAGTTACAGCTTCTTTGACAGTTTCTGCCATTTTCAATCTACAGATTACAATTGGAAGTCTACGTCTAATGATAAACATCATCGTCATTATTATTATCATAAAAAATTATAATCATAATTACTTATCATCAACATACCTACAAAAGGTTGACACACTAATTTTATTAATTTGGCTAAATTTTTTATTGGCTGTTATTAAACGCATTGAATACAATTTATCCAATAATAAATTCTCTTGTTTAATTCTGAATGGATCTTTTACATCCAACAAAGAAATTCTATTTGTCAATTTCTTGATTGCTCCAACAAGTTTGTTGTACTTATGGTAATCTTCCCGTTTTTGCAAATGATATCTTCTTATCACTTTGATTTCTTGAAGATTATTTTCATTTTTCCACTTTATTTTTGGGTGATAATTAATAAAGTCAATAATAGGAAAACTTACATTAATTGACACACACATATATATATCTGTATATATATGTTAGCTAACTTTACCTGTAGAAAATCGACTTTTTTAAGCAATTTCTGTTCATGATATTTTAATTTGCGAACCATCTTTGAAGTTTAGGGAAAAAATTTTAGAAAAATAACGATCGATCATCATTACTACATATAATAATATTAATATTAATAATATAGTAATTCCTAAACTCTGGAGGATGGTTACACACATTCTCACAAACTAGGATTTTGTCCTGGTAACAAAAGTAAAAATTGCTATTTTTAAAGTAT